CCCGCTTATGCTAATGAAGCCCGGGAAATTCAAATCCCGGGCTTCATTAGCAATGTGGGTATGTCTACACTACCCTCCTAGTTCGAACTAGGAGGGTAGTGTAGACATACCCATAGGGCCCCACATGCTAAATCCTCATCCATGGAGCTTCGCACGCAGCAGATGACTTCAGCAGACCAGAATGCAGTGAAACTAAGCCACTCTCAGAATGCTTTTAGACACCAGATTGTCACCCATGTTCCCCTAAATAAACATGCACACAAGGAAAATGCACAGAGCAGGAACAAGGAAACTGCAATAAAGTACAGGCAATGTTTTGATGCTAACATGCTGGTAAACAGCAGGTCAACTGAGTTAACTAAAGTCATGATCCTGCATAATCTACACCCATGATTAAATCTACACATGAGCAGCACCATAAAACTCGATTCATGTGTATGAAGTTACTCATGTGCGTGCCAGTATCTCAAGCACAGTACTGGGGCCTTCAGGTGTGACTCTGCTACTTCTAATCAAAATAACAATGTTCAGCATTTTTTCTGAATGCTGCTTCCGCTTCTCACAGGCGTAATCCAGCCAAGAAGACTTTGCATGTATGAGGATTAAGCTCACTGACATGAGAACTAAACAAAACCTGATCAAAAAGATATATAAAAGAAAGTGGCTCCTTTATTTATATTTCTCTTAGATGTATGTAAAGTAGCAAGGAAAGGGGACTGGATAGAGATTCTCAAAAGGGGGGAGGGGAAGCTGGGGAAGCAGCACAAGGAGGACAGACCTGCTCAAAAACGCCAATTGCTTTTTCCAGATGTTTTTAAAACGTGGCATTTGAAAAGAGAGTCCAGAGACAGACATGTTCCATATTTTTCTCTCCTCCTCACTCCTCTTTTCTAGTGGCAAAACAGAAAAAGCAAGGGGAAAAAACTGATTTGTCACACACACACACACACTCTCTCTCTCTCTCTCTCTCTCACCCCCCAATTTCAAAAGAAACAAAAATTCTCCAGAATTTTTTTTTTTTTTTTTCAGCAAAATAGGCCCTTTTCTGTAACAAACTGACAAAATATTTGACCAGCTCTTGCACCAAGAGCTTGTGGTTTTAGAAGCCAAGAAACATCAGACAGAGCTAGCATTGGAGATTTTGCAGAGGAGGCTTCACTGGAGCAGAGGAGGACACAAATGGAGGCCAGGAAGTACAGGAAGATGGAAAGAAACCAGCAACAGAAGAAGCAGCACTAGCAAGCACAGAATGGTTTGCAGCTTGTAGTATGAAGACCGAAAGAATAAAGCAGATGAGGAGGAGAGAAAAAGGATTTGGAGGAAAGAGTAGGGCTTGCAAATGAAGGAACAGTGAGGTTTTGAGGCAGAGAGGGCCTGGAAGGCCAGCAAAAGACCTGACACAGAAAGATTCAAATTGCCTGGCAGAGTGTAGTTGCACATGAGTAGGTTGGAACAGAGAGGAGACAGTAAGGAGCTGAAATCCAAAGAAGACTATGAGACAGTGTAGGATCTTGGGAGCATAGCTGAAAACCTGGAAGGGGAGAGGTTACATTTGTTTTGCAGTAACTGTTGCTTGGTTATTAGCCCTATCTGCAAGTAAACAGAATCCATTTTCAGCAGGCCAGTGTTGTTATCAAGTTCCTCCCGGGATATAGCAGGAACATGAACATAAGGTCTTTTTCCTTTCCCCACAAGGCTGAAGAATAACAGAAACCCAGCTAAATCTGCAGAGCAACTCTCCAGACAAATGCTCCCCAAGCTCCGAGCTGTGTTACCGAAACTCCGGTCTGCACATTCAGTGCAGGGCTAAGGTAAACAAAGGAGGAGAAAGCAAGCCTGATACAGAGTGCACTCAGAGCGGAAGCAGCGCATTTGTTATGCAAACATGTGGAGCAAAATGGTGACTCATCTAAATAACAGAAGGAGGAAGGGAGCACAAGGGAGTAGAAATGGGATGAGCCAACTATATAACTGATGTGTTCAGATAACTTTAGCTGCATTCCAAAGGGCTTGTCTGCACTATGCCAGGAATCGACACTGCAGCAATCCATCCACCAGCTATCGATTTATCACATCCGCTTAGACATGATAATCTCTGAGTGCTCTCCCGTGACATGCAGGTATTCCCGCAAGATGAGAAGAGGAGCTGGCACTGACATGAGAGCAGCCCCCACCGATATTACTGCACGCAAGACGCTTCAATAAGTGTGTCAACTTCAGCTACGCTATTTGTGTAGCTGAAGTAGGTCACTAGTGGGGCTAGTGTCGACTAGGCCTACGTTATCACTGCTGGCCATCCTGTGATTTAACAGTGTTAGTTAAATATCAATCTGAATTACTTCCTACTGGAACCATCACTGGGCAGATTTGAACCTGGGTCTTCTGGACCACAGTATAGGACCCTCTACAGCAGCAGTTCCCAACCTTTTCCAGATGGGGTTCCATTTTGACAATTCAGGAAGACTTGGTGACCCAAGGCAATTCAAAAATGGGGGGAGGGCATAGTCACCTGGGGAGACACTTGGCGACCCTTTTGAAATGTAATGACAACCCATATTTGGGTCCCGATGCATAGGTTGGAAAACCCTGCCCTATAGCTTGAGCTACAAAGCCAGCTAGATGACTCTCAACTTAGGCTATAGAGCTCCCTTGTTCTTGTCTCTTGCTGTAAGTGGTCTAAATGCCACTACATGGGACAATGTAGTGATTCTGAAGCATGAATACAGGCAGTCCCCGGGTTACGTATAAGATAGGGACTGTAGGTTTGTTCTTAAGTTGAATTTGTATGTAAGTCGGAACTGGCACATATTGTAGGGGAAACTCTAGCCAAACATTTCTCCAGAGCTCAGTTTTATTCTCCCACACCTCACTTCCCTCAGTCCTTTATTCTCAAGCTGAGGTGTCTTCTGAGAAAAGCCGCTCTGCGTCTCCCTGGTCTGCTGGGGAGGGGGGCGCTAGCTTCGCGTCTCCCTGGTCTGCTGGGGGGAAGCAGCTAGTGTGGTGTTGCCTCACCCCGTTTGTAAGTAGGGATCCAATGTAAGTCGGATCCATGTAACCCGGGGACTGCCTGTACCAGACACACCATATAGTAAGTATCAGTGCCAATGCTTGTGGGATAAAGGTAAACTTCTGTCTCCAAATGAATGGAACTAGTAAAGAAAATGAAATCCTAAGGGACATAATTTAAACCTAAAGAGCGGGACAGCTAACAAAGATACAGGGCCTTGATCTTACTCTAGTTACACTGTACCGAACCAAGTAGCGGAAAGACCAGAATCTGACACAGGATAGCAGTGCAGAGGAGAACTCCAATACAGACAGCCCCTGACTTGCGACGCAATCGGTTCCTGGGGAAGCATCACAAGTCGGGGGCGTCATAACTCGAACCCTCATTTATGATAGGCGCCGTCTGCTCCGTCGTAAATGCAGGCCAAGGATGTAAGTCGGGGGGTTTCGGCCCCTTCTGCACTTACAAAAATGGTCGTAAGTGCGGGGGGGAGGGTCGCAATTCGGGCTGTTGTAAAACCCAGAGATGGGCCCAAACCAAACTTCCCCACAGTTGGGGAAAGTTCAGAGACAGATGCAAACTCTGCAACTCAAAATAGTCTGCAGTGGGATCAAATCTCCAAACTCCAGGGCAGTGCAGATTCAGAGCTGAACTTTGTAGGTCTTATCTCCCAACAAAACAATATCAATCATTTCTTCACCCTAATTACTTCCTCACTTGCAAAACTTAAACCACACATTCCACAAAGCTGTGTAACACCCCGTGAGTAACAAGACTCCAGATGTGTTATTAGGAGAATTGTTAAGTCAGTTAAGCCTTTGAATATTTTAACCCCTATATCTTTGAGAACTTGGTGGGGTATAATCTGTGAAAAAATGTATGGGAGTCATACAATGATTGTCTTTGACAAGCCTTACATCAGGGGTGGGGAACCTACAGCCTAGAGGCCGGATGTGACAGATTTTTCTGTGGGTCAGTGGCCCCGACAAAAAAAGGTTCCCTACCCCGCCTTAAATGAAGATGTTATACAGAATTATTATATTGCAGTAGCATTTCGGAATGCCAGATTTGGATGAGGGCTGCACTGTATGTGGTGCTGTAGAGACATAAGACTATACCAGAAAGATAATAATTGACGTGTCAATCACACACAGATTTATCTTTTAAAATATGGCTGCCTTCAATGTATCTAATAAATAGTAGCACAGTTGTACTTACAGACAAGGTGAATCTAATCTCCTTATGGTTGCAGTTTTTGGAAATCCTTTTCTTTAGTGCTTTTACTGCATCTTTAGGCCTGTGACAACGAGAAAATTATGCAGAATGACATAGGGTCTTTATTTTTAAAAATTGTCCAGGATCTGAAAATGACATGAGATAAGGAATGAATCACCTCCCAGCGTTACTCTGATTTTATGCTGGTTCACAAACCAGTGCGATAATTCCACGGATTCCAATAGAGTCACTTTGGTATTAAATTGGAGTAACATGGTGGCGAATGAGTCTCCAATAAAGACTATACTCCAGAGTCCTGTGTAGAAGAATAAACATAATTCCCAAGTGCAGCCTTTCCTCTCCAAAATTATATTCTCTTACCATCTTTTGAGAGATTTACCTGTGCAACTCTCATGAATATAAAATCTTAAAGGGCCAATGCATCAAATGCTAAATAGAGCCCATTTTTCAAATGCGATAAAATTAAGAGACCTTATGGGAGTTTTGGCAAAACCAGAGGCATTAGCCTCAGTGTCCTGGTTAAATTTCAATTCTATGGTAATTGCAGGATGTTTCCAAACAACTCTAGTAATTGCTGTGTGCCGGTAAACAGCCCTTGCAATTCCACATCAGAGCTGGCTGCACAACCATCAGAGCACTGTGATTCTCATATATATCCTGTATATAGAACTGCGTGGGAGTAAAAGGATGGGATTAGGTAGTAGCTCATTATACATGGAAATAGTTTTGTTTCTTAATATACTCTGCGTATAACGCGCCCATGTGTTACAGTAACTGGTGCTATTGCAGAGTTTCTGATAAGCAAAAACAAAATCCTTCTAGATGATCTAGCACTATATTAATGTAACTCACCAAACTCCTTGGTTCAGAAAATAAATCTTACTGGAAAAGTAACTCAATGCCAATAAATCCCTACTGTAATGTTCATCTTTGAAAATATAGCAGCTTGAATGTTCTAATATATTTCTTGTCAAATTCCACTAAGATCTAGGTTTCTCTGTTTTTATACTATTGTAAATTGCAAACATAGGAATTACCACAGCAGATCAGAGTGCTGGAGAATGCAAAACAGGACAGGTAGGATTAGGAAGAAAAATCCCCCTGTAGCTAAACTGTTCCATAATTCTTCTCTTCAGGATTTCTGAGACTTTCCTCTCAGGTTCTAGTCACTTTCAGAGCCAGGATACTGAGTGAGATGGACCAATCATCTGATCAGGTCTGGCAATTCCTTTATTTCTAGTATTCCGTCTCAGGCTGTGGCCAGTAGCAGATGTGGAAGAGAAAGTCCTAAAATGTTTCAGACTGGAGAGTTATTGGATAAGCTGTTCACAAGGGAAAATTATTTCCTAAAGAAGTTATGTCTGATGCTGTAAGAGGCACTGCGTAGATATTATAGAACACCCTCCCCTGTTCCCCCCCCCTCCCCGCAAAAGCTCATAGATAACCCATCCACTTGTCAATGGCTGGTAGCCACAAACAACAGCAAGGAACAGAAGTGCACAGTATAGATTACTTCTGTTCAGTCATTATGGCAAAACTGTGTCATCTCAAGACTGAGACCCCTCTGGTAAATAATACAGGCAGTCCCCGAATAACAGGATAAGAAGAAGATACACTAAAGCAAATTCTATGTAGACACCCTTTCACATCAAATTTTATGAAGACATTATTTTCAAATGAGTGTTAACTGATCCAGAAGAACTTAGGTTTACATTTTCATTCTTGAGCTGATGTGCTGTGCTTTGCAATGTCATGTTTCATCAGCCACATCACCCTTGATACAGGATGATGTGATGGATGCAGCCTGTCAATTTTTTGTGTGTAACATGAAAATATTAACAAAATATAGGTTCCTAGATATGCATATTTTAAGAGTTTTAACTTTGTTAGCAAGTCTTTATGCTTACCCTCAAAATCTTCAATTGTGTAATTGCCACCATAAATGTTTTCCAAGGTAATATCACAGACACTAACCTCCTGTCTATGGACAGTGTAAATATCTGGATTTAGAATGGCAAAATGGAGCTGTAGGTCACCTCTGATGTGGTATGGCAGAAATTTCAGGGAAGGTGACCTATCCCTTTCCTTGATTTTGCTTGAATCAGGTTACTTATTGTTAATTTTTCATATTCATGATTATAATGGGCATAGCAGCGACTGCACTATTTCATTCTTAAAGCTCGAGTCAGCTCTCCGTGAGGTTAATAGAAAGACTTCCATTGACAAAACTAGGTGACTGGGCAACAAAATGGCAGATGAATTTTAATGCTGATAAAAGCAAAGCAATGAATATTGGAAAAAAGAATCCCAACTATACGTATAATATGATGTGGTCTAGGGATGTTAAGAGGTGAGTATTTAACTAATCTAGTACAGGCAGTCCCCGGGTTACGACAAGATAGGGACTGTAAGTTTGTTCTTAAGTTGAATTTGTACATAAGTCGGAATTGGCGTCCAGAGTCAGCCGCTGCTGAAACTGACCAGCGCTGACTACAAGAAGCCCGAGGCAGAGTTGCTCTGCCTCGGGCTTCCTGGAATCAGCTGCTGATCAGTTTCAGCAGCAGCTGACTTGGGGACGCTTGGGGTTCTTAAGTTGATTCTGTATGTAAGTCAGAACTGGCGGTCAGTTTCAGCAGTGGCTGGATCTGGACGCCAGTTCCAACTTACATACAGATTCAACTTAAGAACAAACCTACAGTCCCTATCTTGTACGTAACCTGGGGACTGCCTGTAATGCCACAAGGTTCTAATATACCATTTTCCACCAATAGCACTCAAAGGATGATAAAAATGAGGTCAAGATTACTGTCCCATTTTACAGATGGGGAAATGGAGGCAGAGAAAAATGAATGACTTGCTTAAAGTTACCCAGTAGCTATTTGGCCAAGCTGGAATTAGAATTCAGGACTTCACTGGTCTACCCACCAGACCACACTGCCTCCCAAGGGGCCTCAATACACTAAAATACGTTCAGCTATAAAGTGTGACATCATTTGACTTTTCTGATAAAAAATTTAATAGAGTTGGGCATCAAAAATATCTAATGAGAACCCCTGTCAAATTACAACCCCGAAACTAAAAGCATGTTGTGGTAGCTAACAGAGGTCTCAGATCTTGTAAACTTGGGATTCTCTACCCTGTATAGCAGGAGATGGCAGAATCCATATAACTTGAGACTCAAAGGCAAAGGAGAAGAAAGGAAAGTAATTACATAGACACCAATGGTATCTCCAGGCAAAAGTGGGAGCATACAGCTAAACCACACTGATTCTTGGTCACACATGACACACTTGAACTCATTTCCAAATCTGCAGTCAGGAGGGTATTTGGGAGGCTTTTCCCTTCCTCTGGGAAGAGCATCAGGATTAGGTGTGCATAACGTTGCAAACGGAAGGGCATTCAAGAAAACTGTGGCTATTGACACTTCCTACCTTTTTCTAGAATTTGTGTATAGAAAATACCCGTAATGGTCAAATCTTGACATCTTTACTGATTTCTTATTCCACCAAAATTCCCAATGAGTCAAATAAACTTTTCTCCTGAGGAAAGGCTGAATAGAAACCAGCTAAAGGCATCAGGATCCAGCTCCTTATAATGACTTAAGCAGGGGTGGGGAACCTCAGGTCCAGGGGCCGGATATGGCCTCCAGGTGACCTGGATCTGGCTAGCACTGGGGATCTCCCCAGCATTGGGGAGGTTGTGCTGGAGCTCCAGTGTCCACATCACTGCCACACCATAGGGCTGGAGCACTCAAAGTCTATTAGCCTGGACCCGCTGGGAGGAGAACGTGGGGAGTGTCTTTCCTTCTCAATGGGCGGTTGTGGGTTTTGTTTTGTTTTTTGCTTCTCGCTTGTGTGTAGCCCCAGACTGATTTTTCTGTGGGTCAGTGGTCCCTGACCCAAAAAAAGGTTCCTCAATCTCTGACTTAATCGGATGTGATCTTTAAGTAGTTGACCTGTTGCATATGGAACTATAAGGAATCCTGGCCTACTCTCAAGAACAAACCTGGGCAAAATACAGCCCCTGGGCCACATCCGGCCCACCAAGGCACCGGATCAGGACCGAAGATGCTGCAGGGAGCCCCAGGCAGGCTCCCCTCTTGCCTCGCCCCACCTGCACGCCGTTCGGAAACACAGCTGTGGGACGGTTTTTCTTTAAAAAGTGTGAGTCCAAAGGGGAATCTTTAGTAGCTGCTCACACCCCTAGCACAATCACATTGGCCAGTTTCTGGCCAGAAGCTGGCCAGTTAGAGCTGCCTGTTTTAATAACAGGCAGCCACGAAGCACAAGGGGCTCCAGAGCACATGGCTGCAGCCTGTGCGGGGGTGGGGCAGGCAGGGAGGCTAATTCAGGAACCGCTGCTGGCTGGTAAGTCTCTTGGCAGAGCCTGACCTCTGGCACCCCAGTCCCCCCCTTCTCCAACCCTCTGTTCCCCACTCCTGCCCCCTACTCCACATACCCATATCCTCTACCCCCTCCTGTACCCATATCTCCTCCCAGATCCAGCACCCTTATCCCCTGCCCAAGATCACAGTCCCCTCATGCCCTAGCTCACAACCCAAATCCCTGCACCCCCTCCTGTATCCCAATTCCCTACCCTAGGACACAATCCAACCCCCCCACCCCAGTCTAGTGCCCCTGTTCACAACTGCCTCCTTCACCCAAACTCCCTCCCTTACCCCAATCTCCCTTTTACACCCAACCACCATCCCAGACTTCGCATCTCATCCATTAATATCATAGAAAAGAGCAGCCCGCAACCAACTTCCAAATTCTTGGAATGGCTCCCCATCAAATATTATTGCTCACCCCTGCTCAAGAAGCTTGTCCTGCTTCTGAATAACAAAGTGTAAGTTTGGATGTTCTTATTAGCCACATAAATGAAAAACATCTGGGGTATGTCTAGACTACATGGCTCCGTCGACAAAGCCATGTAGATGAGTTTACTGGACATAGGAAAATGAAGCAGCAATTTAAATAATTGCCGCTTCATTTACATCAAAATGGCTGCCGCACTGTGCCGATCTGCTGTTTGGCGGCACAGCAGCGCAGTCTGGATGCTCTGTGGTCGACAAGGGAAGCCTTTGTCAACCGCTCCGGTAAACCTCATTTCACGAGGCATACTGGAGCGGTCGACAATGAGTGTATGTATGTGTGCATGGCTAGCCCAAACATACAATCTAACTAGGTGGTCAGTTAGGGTGCCAGGCTTTAAGGGGTATCCAATTAGACTGAAGCGATTTTTTTTCCATTTAAAAATACATTAATGTTTTCTCTTATAAATGACAGTGTCAAATGTCGTACTTATAAAAGAGTGCATCACTGCCATGTCAGAAGCTGAGTTGAATCATTTATTTCACAATTTGGAGCACGGCTGTGTATGTAAATACAGTTACAACGTGCCCCAGCATGGCTTCAAAAGAGCGCCACAGACTTCATTCAGTATCAAGGAATAAAGATTTTCATAGCTTCCCCAAAAACAGTTTCTTTGGAAGGAAGACAGTTGCCACCTGAAATGCAACTATTTATAGCACCGGCCAGAAACACTGTGCACAGGTTGAACCTCCCTGGTCCAGCACCCTGGGGACCTGGTCAGTTCCAGATGAGGGATTTTGATGGAACAAGGGAGGTCTTTTCTGGCTAACCTGCCCCTGCCTCTGCCCCTGCTCCCTCTCTCCCCCAGCTCTGGTCCAGCCATCGGCCTCCCAGCTCGATCCTCCCCCGAGGGGCAGCCCCGCGGCTGGCAGACTGCTGCCCTACCAGCCCTCAGGCCTCCCAGCTGCCAGCCCTCTAGTTGCTGAACCAGGGATGCTGCCAGACCAGAGAGTCCCGATTTAAAAAGGTACAACCTGTACAACTCAAAATGGTTAAAATTTCAAAGTATCAACTACTGGTGGTTTACCCTGTTCAGTATAATTGTGTGAGAAGTAACGAAAAAGACGAAACAAATATATAAATATATATATTCTTATGCTGACATTGATCATTTGGAATGCTAAGTAAATCAAGGTAAAATTTCATTCTAGACTTCTCATTTTTCTCTATATTAAGTGTGTGTGTGGGGGGGGGGGGGGGGGGAAACAGCTCTAAAATCCTTGGGCCAGCCCTGTACATGTGCATCAACACATATCCAGGGCCCTTTTAAACAGGAGCAGTGAAACAGGCAATACAGACATTTTTCAGATATCTGTTATTCACGCAGGACCAGTGTTCCCTGTAAGCTGAATGCTTGGGTGCCCCCTACGACCAGGAGAGATTCAAATGCCACCCAGCTGATTAGCAGAATGCTCACAGCATGTGATGGTGCACATCCACACATCTGAGTGCACATAAAATTTATCCTGCACATGGATGGGAACAATTAGTGGGAACACTGCTCAGGACCTCTGTATCATCTGCAAAATGATTTCCCTAATCAGACCACAAAGCGTGAGACTACTTACCCCTCCTCCGTCGTGTTAATAAAGTCACAGATGTGCATAAACAGACCCCACTCCTCCGCGGGCAGCGTACCCACCGTTGCTCTCTCTGGAAGGAAAAGAGGATTTGCTTCACAAAAGTCAGAGTAATTTTTGCTCTCTCTCTCTCTCTCTCTCTCTCTCTCTCACACACACTGAATCAAAACTTGGAACTGAACCAATCTTTTATTTCAGTCCAAAGGGCTCACGGGGGCCCCTTTACAAGGCGGCCCTTAATGGGTCATGGGGGTGGCAGAGACCTAGGTCGGATCCCCAGCTTGTCCACACTTGGATTCTGCAAAGCTGCCCCCACCTGGGAGCGGGGCTGCAGGGGGTGGCCACGTGGACAGGGGTCGAGGGGGGCTGGTCCCTGCCTCCAGCAAACTGTCCAGCTGCTCCACTGTCCTCTGGGGTTCTCCGAGGGCTTTGGAGGGGAGAAGGGGCCCTGGGTTCCTACGTCCCGACAGCGAGAGGGGGGCCCAGACCGGGGCGGGAGGGGGCTCAGGGACTCACCGATCAGGTGCCCCACGGCTGTGCCGAAAGGATACAGGGGTCGAGGGGGGCTGGTCCCTGCCTCCAGCAAACTGTCCAGCTGCTCCACTGTCCTCTGGGGTTCTCCGAGGGCTTTGGAGGGGAGAAGGGGCCCTGGGTTCCTACGTCCCGACAGCGAGAGGGGGGCCCAGACCGGGGCGGGAGGGGGCTCAGGGACTCACCGATCAGGTGCCCCACGGCTGTGCCGAAAGGATCCTTCTGACTTTTCCCGAAAGCCATGCTGCTTCTGCGCGCCCCGGGGGCCAGCCTGCTCCTTCCTCCCCCGCGGGGGCTACGGACTCAGCCG